TGCAAATGTTGACCCTCCGATTGTTAATTCAGCTGGTGTCAGTGCATAACACCAGGCTAGGGTGATGTGTGTTTTAATTTTTTGTTTCTTTTAATTCTGCTTGTATATAATTAAGTAATAATTGGAGAGAATGGGGCACAGAAAAGTGGATCTTCTCCACTGAGTAGATTTTTTTTTTTTCCTTATAAGGAACAGATACTAAGATAATGGAATGGGGATACGTGGATCGTTTCAGTTTATATAGAGTTGTGTACTCTGTAGTTGTGCTGTTAAAGTACACATTTTGAAAAACTTTCCAGAAGCTCCTGCTCCCATTCCCAAGATCTTCTTTTTAGTGCTAGCTTTACTTTTGTTCTAAAACCAAGCTGCCATATATGCGAGTAGAGCACAAAACAACGAAGCCCACAGGGAAAGAGCCGACACTGACAAATTACCTTTTGTTTGATTCAGGATCTTGTCTTCTGCTTTCTTCCCCCGAAATCTGTAACAAACCACCTGCTGCAAATAACACATTCCTCAGAGTTCTGGAAGTGATTCCATCCCATGTATTCCCAAGTTAGTAGGATTTCAGTTTTGAATTTAGGTGGCTAAAATACACCCCTTGGTTTTCATGCATGACAAGCAAATCAAATTTAGAATTTCAACAATTCAGATCCAGAGACTTTGTTGAAGAATGAAATTGTGAAAATAGACCTTTTGTACCAAGAATCCTTTCCTCACATTCCATCTTTTTCTTGTCCTTTACTTCTCTTGTCCTCTTTTCTCTCCTTTTTACCAAGTTTGGTCACCTATCATAGTTTGAGTAATGAAACGTCAGCAAGAAAACAAGCAAGCTCAGAGAGAACCAAGGACCCCTGTTTCCTTTTTTGTTACTGGATCTGCTAAACTTCAAAGGCTCCTCTCTCGTTTCCAATCTGGTTGGAAACAGGAAGTCTCGTGTCTCAAGAAAGTAAATCAATTTTTGTGCAATTGGAGATTCAATTTCAGGAATTTGAGAGGATTGGATTGTCCTAATAAAGGTCTGGTAACCTTTTTTTCCTTGAGAGAGCCTGGGAAACGTTTACAAATTAATGAAACTATTAACATGACCTCAGGAAATGGAACGGTAGAAGTGAAACTTCAGTGCTCAGATCGGTTGATGCCTTTGTTAATAGAGTGGTACTATATTCTCCCAAAGATGATGTTGTGCAAAAGGATGGAAGTATGGGCTGTCATACAAACCAAGAGAAGCTACTCATCCATCCATATTCTGAAATTGGTTTCCGTCGATCCATCTTTCTCTCTGAACTCCCCTGTGCTCCATCTGCTTTTCATTTGCTTTGTGGAAGCCGGGGGTGGTTTCTACTGGTTCGGCCTGGTTTTGCCGAGCCGGTAGCAGCGATGAGCAGTGGAGAATGAAACGGTTCTCTCCACCGCTCCACTGTTCTGCCCACCCACCCACCCAGGCTCCCATACTCACCTTTATCCTCTGAATTTGAAGCACAGCTGCTGAACTGACTGGGAGAGTGCAGACTTGCAGGAAGTGAGTTAGAATGCCTCTGCGCCTGCACAAAGTGCACGTTTGGCGTGCGCGTGCGTGCAAAGTGTATGCATGCGCACAAAAGCCATGCCCACCAAACCGGTGATAAAAATATTTGAATCCCACCACTGGTGGACACATTGCACTAAGTCAAAATGTTGCTTCTTTCCACGTGGTTTAGTTTGTTGTATGATCTTAACCATTGTGGTTTATAGATCCCAGTAATGAAGCAATACAGAACACAGAATGGTTCAAACATTGTTTTCTAGCCTCTAAATAGTTTTTTACATTACGTCATATAATGGTCTAGCCAAATCCCCCACATCACACCTATTACCCCATATTTCTACGCTCTAGAGAAGGTTCAAACATTTCGGACTTCAAATCAGAAAAAGATCAGAAGCAAGTTCCATGTTGTCTGATAAGAGTGAACAAAATGTATTTTAAAAACCATGTGTACAAATAACGCACTTCACAATGGAAGTTTGTCATTGGCAGATCTATTGTGTGAATTTGTGGGTGACATTATTAGTCTGGACTGCAACTGTCACAGGCAAGGATCATGTCACAATTTCACACAGCTTTAGTCTTCTGTCAGACTACTTATATCTGGAGAGATGATGACCTTTGGCTCTTAGAAATTACTTAGTGATGGCATTGCAAATTGTGTGTGTGTGTGTGTGTGTGTGTGTGTCTTATTGCATGAACCCAATCTATTCATCTACAGTTAAGTATATTATTTTACAAAGCCAGATCAGTGTCTGGTTAAGTAAACATTTTGATTTTACATAAAGCTTACAGTATAGCATTGTGTAATACACATCTTGCCACTACACACTAAGTATTCCTCCTCCTCCTCCTCCTCCTCCTCCCCTTGCTCTTTTCACATTCATCCTTATAAACTTTTCTGGTTTTATTCCTCAGATCCTCTGGCTCCCTATCAATGGGATTCAGAACTTCTCCTTGAACACGATGAGCATGTGCTCAAGATCACATCACTTCGTTGACTTTGTTCTTCTACTTTAGCTTGACTTGAATTTGTACGTGGGTACTTTGTAATCTATTCCACAGTCATGTCTTTCCTATTATAACTGAGTGGTTACCTCCTTGCACCAATAATATAATCCGTTCGATTTCTGTTTCTCCATCCGGCAATGTCCATGTTTATAGGCATCGTTTTGCCATTTGTCATTTTGTTTTGGTTGTTTAATGTGTTAGCAATGACTAAACAATTCGATTGGTATAAATTAATAAATTGTTCTGCTTCATTTCTGTTCCTTAGACCATAGTTTAAGAATAGTTGTTTGGCCCATAATGTAATTGTTGAGCAACTGTTGTTTATTCTGTTAAAAGTGATGTTATAATGCATTTTCTCCATTTCTTTTCCTGCTTCTGCTTATTGTACACCGTCCAGAGGCTGGTGGTTGGACTTGAACACAAAAATCGTGAAATAAAAAATAATTATTTTTGAATCAGAAAAAAAAACAAGTCTTTGGTTCCATTGCTTCAGAATCCATATAAATAAATAAATGGGTGTGGGTGTGTGTGTAGTGTGTGTTTTCTCAACAGCTCTGCCATGAAATTATAAAATGAAAAGACAAAACCAGGAAGTCTCCTCTGTCCATTTGGGGTATGAGGCAAAAACTGCACTGGACCATTTCGTTTCTTGTGCTCCATAGAAGGGGACAAGGAAAAGACCTTGAGAAAAAGACCAAATGAGAACCTGAAGTTGCTAAAAGAATGGAATACCCCTCCCCCAAAACTAGCACATGAGACAGATCCCACACTGCCCTTCAAATAGTGGTTTAGGTATCTTTCCTCTCAGAAAGAAAGCCTACACTGAATTTGCCAGTGCATCAACCTGCAATGTGCCATGTTATCAATATTTGCCTTTCAATACTTTTATGAAAATTTTCCCCTTAACATAGGGATCAATACCTAGGTATGAATGGGTACCATTATGTTATCAATCCACTCAAATGGACATAATGTAAGTTCAAAAATATTCAAAAATAACTGATAACCCTTAAGATCTTAGAAATCTTGAGAGGTGCTGTGGTCTCACAAGGTTTGGGGTATTTTTAATTTTTTAAAAAAAAAAACATAACACCAATTAGGCACCAATTTACTCTTCTAAAATAAAGACACAAATAGAAAGAAAGAAAGAAACCCAACCACCCTCCTCCAAATGGAGTTCAGTGGGTATTGTTTAGGGCTGACCCATTACTGTTCCTCCCCCCCCCCCCCCCCCCCCCCGCCTTTGGCATTCATTTATATGAAAAGCTTTCATATATGCAAAATCTTAATAATGAGGATTTCAGAGATTTTATTGAGTCTAAGCTCGGTGTTCCCTTAGCTGTTTATGAATTGTTCACCTGCTCTATTAGAAATTAAGAATGGGTTTAACAGATTAACAGAGTTGGAAGGGACCTTGTAGGCCATCTACTCCAACCCCCTGCCCAAGCGGGAGACTCTACACTGTTTCTGACAAATGGCAGTCCAATCTCTTCTTGAAAGCCTCCAGTGATGAAGCTCCCACAACTTCTGAGGGCAAGCTGTTCCATTGGTTGATTGTTCTCACTGTCAGAAAATTCCTTCTTATTTCTAAGGTTGAATCTCTCCTTGATCAGTTTCCATCCATTATTCCTTGTCTGGCCTTCGGGTGCCTTGGAAAATAGCTTGATCCCTTCCTCTCTGTGGCAGCCCCTCAAATATTGGAACACTTCTATCATATCTTCCTTGGTCCTCCTCTTCACTAGACTAGCCATGCCCAGTTCCTGCAACCGTTCATCGTATGTCTTAGCCTTCAGTCCCCTAATCATCCTGGTTGCTCTTTTCTGCACTTTTTCTAAAGTCTCAACATCTTTTTTATAGTGTGGTGACCCAAACTGGATGCAGTATTCTAGGTATGGTCTCTTTAGGTCTTCCCATTGTATTTTCCTGCATTATCAGTGTAGATAATTTATAGTTTGCTGTGATCAACCCAGCATCCCTCCCAGAGGTGGTATTCAGCAAGTTCTGACCAGTTCTGGAGAACAGGTAGCAAAAATTTTGAGTAGTTTGGAGAACCAGCAAATGCCACCTCTAACTGGTCCCACTTCCATCTATTCTCTGCCTCCTGAGTCCCAGCTGATTGGCTGGGTCTTCTTTTGTTGCCCTGCACAGGAGAATGGAGCTGGAAAGCAGGTTAGTGGGGTGGGGAGGGAATGGAGATTTTGCATTAAACTTCCCCCAGGAGTGCGGATGGAATGGAGATTTTACAGTATCCTTCCCCTGCCATGCCCACCAAGCCACACCCACAGAACGGGTAGTAAAAAAAATTGAATCCCACCACTGATCCCTCCTATGAATATAATGTGTAGTCCCACCCCACTTTCCAGCATTTAAGTGTTCTTAACTTCTTTGGTATTGAAAATGGTCTGACTAGATATATGGCAATTCTCTATTTTTTAAGGAGGCAAGCCAAGCATCAAGAGGCAGTATAGGTTGTATTACTCATTTGTAGGAGAGAGAACTACTGATGAAACTGAACTTTAAAAACACGAGGAGTAGCGGAAAACAGGTGCAAAAAAAAAAGAAGAGCTGGCAAAATGTGGAAAAGTAAAGGAAGATACCCACATCTTGTTATTCGCGTTGAAGACCATGGGAGAAGGTGAGAATCTTGTGTTTTTGTGCCTAGGATGCTTGCAGGTGGGCTCTGCTAAACAGACTGCAATTTATTATAAATCATATTTGGAGGGTAAAACGTGTTAATTATTTTATGAAGAACAACATGCTGCCTTATGTAGAGCAGAGGGGGGAAATCTTAAAATGCTTGTGTTTTCTTGTGGAGTTTACTTATGATTAAATAGGTGTGTGCACATACCATACTTGGAGGAAAAATCAGGAGAGAGAGAGAGAGAGAGAGAGAGAGAGAGAGAGAGAGAGAGAGAG